CTTGGTGCTGCAGGGTCAAGTACAGGCAGCCTCAGTGACTGACTGACTCTCACACTATCTCAATCTGCTTAGCCAAGCAAAACCGAATCAAGACTTGTGCAATACCTCCTTTTGAAGGCTTTCTCTAGTACCTGTTTATTCTCTTCTTTTTCCCCTCTTTTCCCAAACATGAATCAAATATGGGTTGGGGTGTGTGCACTGAATTGTTCTTTCAGCTTTTTCTAAGGGCAGAAGAGGTGAGAATACTTCTTCGTGGGGGACAAAGGCGGTGGAGGGGTGAATGTTATTTTATTTGTTGGTACTTCTGGCACCTAAGTAGCACCTGCACTTACTGTGTTGAATCAATCTGCAGACAGAATGTATTTGTATTCATCTCTGCTGTAATAACATGCTGTCTTTTCACTTCCACTGCTTGCCTTAGTCCTACCTGTTTTCCCAGTGCAATTTAAAAGTGTATTAGTATCTCAAAACATATATACCAGAACTCCTCATGCATAAGGTGCCTTTCTGGGAGAAACAGGGTGAACGTATGCAAAGTGCAGGGTTCCTATGTGATAAAAGCAGTTCAGCTGGTTGTTTGCATCCCTGCATTTGTCTTCCGTGGGCATGCAGGCTCCCCCACTGCACAAGGCACAATGTGCAAGTATCATATGCAGTCTCTGCACATGATGTTTTAAAGTACTTAGCTCTGCAGTCTAAAAGATGATCTTCCAGCTGTTCCTATAACTACTTTATTTTTTTTATTATTATTTTTAGTAGCTTCTTCCTGGGCAATAAATCAATGCAAGTCTTTGTTTTTTTCCAGTTAATTTGCATCTTACGGGTAGCAAGGTCTAGGACTGGCTAAAAACTCATTCTGAAATATGGTGCTATCATATCTGTGCTGAAAGTGAAGGGTCAGGGGCTTTGGAATGCTTAAGATTACAGCTAATATATTAAACGCTAACGTATTAAGCGTTTTACAGCCTTGAATTGTTACATCTGACCTCTGCGCTGACACGTGTGCCACTAAGTACTTTGTGGATGTAATAAATGCTGGAATAGATTGAAAGGGCAACTTTATCCTTGTCAGAATCTTTGCTCTCAACACTCAGACTAAAAGAAGTGCTCACTTTCTCTTGAAATGTTCAGGAGAACACAAGAAATCTCAATTGCTTCCTCATGTTAGGCGCTCAGCTGTGGGGAAGGCAGAACAAATGAGATTTTCTAAAATATTTATTGTACATCTATACTTCGTATTCTTAGACTGATAATACCAAGCCAATTTCAAACCATCACTGCAGGTATCTAAGACACAAGGTGAAGAAAATGTTGCTTTACATCCTCCATTGTAAGACGTGACACCCAAATCCAGCACCAAACCCTTGGCTTGTGTGCTTAGGCACTCTTGCATTGCTGGAGAAAATATAAAGATTTGTGGCTCCTTCTGAGAATGATCAATAGGGAAAGTTCAACTCAAATGGGTCACGCAGAGATTCTGCTGCTAATCCATGCACTATTCTTGCGTAAATCTGCTGTCACGTGCCTAAGGCTGCACAGGGTCTGGCCAACTGCTATCGTCCTCATCTAGAACACTGTATGTAGCACTTACTAGTCCTAGATTAACTTATAATCGGTTCTTAAATTGCCTAAAATGTAAACCCATCAATCTTTTAATGAGGTAAAAGGTTAAGTACAATATTAGGAGCTTTGAGTATGTAACAAGCCTATGTTAAGAAAAAGTAGCTTTCCACTTGTAAGTCTGTTGGATATTCATATTTGAATTTTATTTTTCAATAAGTAGCATGTAGTAGTACAGAATATCGTGCAATAATTAAATTATGTATTAGCGTAAAATATTTGTGGTTTGGGATTTTGGGTTTGATTTTTAGAACCTGCTCAGTTGCTCACCTACTTCTGGTGTTCAGAGCCTTAGGTGGTTTTTTACTGCTCGTAAACTGCAAATCTCAGTCTTTCTGAAATTATCCAATAAACTGTAACAGGCTTTTTATTATTGTGAAACTAAAGAGGATTAAAAGGGGAACACTGCAGTTTTTTTTTTTTTTTTTAAATTAAAGGGGAAAGGGGGGTTTAAAAAAAGAAAAAAAAGAAAGAAAAAAAAGAAAAAAAAAAAAAAAAAGGCAAGGAGACCTTTGTTTGGAATTCCAGAAACTGGAATAGCTCCTTGTGGGTAGTTAAAGATGGCATTTGATAACTTGGTCCTGTTTCCTGACACATAATAGTCCACATACTGTCTTAAGTGTGATTACAACCTTAATATTGTTTTGCTGACCTTAATGCTACTTCAGAGTGTGAAGAAACTTACACCAGTTGGAAATAAAGTATGGAAGGTGCCACCCCATGTTACAGTTTTTATGCTATGAAAGGCCACAATTGTTATAAAATGTCTGATGGACCCCACTGACACTTTCAGAAGGCTTTTGCATTGCATAGTTTCAGGATATGTGTAAATATGGATTCATGGCTCTATTAGCAATGATTGCAGTACAGACACAACCAGTAACCAATCTAGAAAGTTTAGGTACTAGCAATAGCTTAGCTACAGCAACTATAAAATAACATAATCTGCACAACCAAACTCAACTCATCTGGATAAGCATTTTGTTGACTAGCCTGCACTGACCTCCATGAGAAAAGCAAAATAGTTGAGTGCACTTCACGTGTGCACTTCCCAAAGCAGCTGCAGCTATCTAGACACTTTTGAAGCCTAGTAGTTTCTCTATAAATGTGAGTAAAAATGCAGAATGGTAGTTTGAGTTTTTTACTCTAAGCACAAGCCTAGTAAGAACACCACTGTCTTGCAGTACCTCACAAAGCAAGTGGACCTCTTGCGTCAGATGAATGATCAGCATGCAAAGGTATACGAACAGCTGGATGTTACAGCAAGAGAACTGGAGGACACAAACCAAAAACTAGTTGCAGAGAGCAAAGCATCACAGCAAAAGATACTAAGGTAAGGAACTTTTAGTAACATTTCCTTTTCTGCCTCAATCTTCACCTTTAAGGTTATAAATAAGAATAGCCTGAGTGAATTTGTGCAGTTACTGCATGACTATCTGTCCACTATACTGTTCTACTACACTTTTCAGTTGAAAGGATGGTGGTGTTTAAATGTATTTTGTGGCCAAAGAGCAGCCTTCTGAGAAGCAACTACAGTGTAAGTAGGCAGCAACTTATATCATTCTCTTAAGTAAGCACCCAAGTGTTTTGACAGTACTGTCCTTCACTTTTAGCTTGACAGAGACAATTGAAAGTCTGCAAACACACATAGATGACCTGCAAAGACAAGTAGAAGAACTTAAGAAGTCTGGACGAGGCCGCATGAGCCACGAGAGATCGGACCAGCCGCGATCAGTGCATAGTTTCTCATGTTTGAAGGAGCTCTATGACCTTCGCCAGTAAGACTGTCTTACCTTGTGTAGTAGAGCAAATGATAAACCTATGTTAAACAGAGTTTAAAAACAGGACATGCAAACACAGATGTGAAACAAGCTAGCAGAAAAACATCATAGTGTCCCTGACTAGCAAAATATCTGCACATTCCTGCACTGTGGGGAGTTGATATTGATAGAGGCTGTATCAGTCTGTGTGGAAAGGGAACCTGCTATTCCTTTCCTTGTTTTGGAGTATGTTCCCTCCCACAGCCTGCAGCTGTAGCAAGCTGTAGTCCAGAAAACTTGCGGGGATCTGAAACCCACCCCTTGCTTTTGTACTACCTCAGATAAAAGCACAAAAATAGTTAAGAAAATGAAGCTTCTTTAGTGTGACCATCAGGATGGTTACTTTGAGGGAAACTTAGCATTAGACCTCAAAGCTGATCACTTTAAGTGAAGCAGCTCCAGCTAGAATAGGTTTTGTGTCTGGACTTCCACCATTGCATGAAGGTAGGACTTAGGAATGAATAATCTGTACATCCAAAAAAGGAGTTATCCTTCCATAATCCTAAAGGTAAATGGATTCCTTCAAGCTGCCAAGTGTTTGTGGAAATGCCAGCCACCAGGATGTAGCTTGTCAGTTTTGAAGCTCGTTTCCACTGGCAGTAGTGACAAAAGTTTTAAAGAGTGGAGAGCTGTGGAAAAGTGTATGAAAGCATATTGTGTGGCACATGGAGGCAACAGACTATGCACCAGTGAAGGAATAGCCTAGATTTAATCTTAAACTTAATTACTGAATAAGCAGACCTATTAAGCTTATCTATAATTTAAAATCTGTTAAATAGCTATTATTTGGCCTAAGCTGAGATGCCTCTTTTGATGGCATAAAATGCATTTACAAACTGTGCTCTGATTATTGAATAGATAGCTAGAAGAGATATTAAAAGGACCACTACATGTATTCAGAGGTATTTTAGCTAATAGTTTAAATCTGTCAGTAGTTACCTAGAACAGAAAAAAAAAAAGTAGGAAGTATAGAAAGCTGTATTTCTTACATCCAGTAACTTGTTTGTTTGTTTCTGCAGGTATTTCGTTTATGATCATGTGTTTGCAGAAAAAATTACTTCAATGGATAATCAGCTAAGTCCCCTAGAAGAAGAAAATGAGAACTTAAAAAAAGCAGTGACAGTTTTGCAAGCCCAACTTAGCCTAGAAAAAGAGAAGAGGGTAACAATGGAAGAGGAATACAGTCTCGTGGTAAAAGAAAACTGTGACCTTGAGCAGAGGCTAGTTGACATAGACTTATATCGGGCTCGTGCAGAGGAGCTGGAAGTGGAAGTCGCTGAAATGCGACAAATGCTTCAGTCTGAAAACACCTTCCATAATGCAGAGAAATTGGTGCCAGAATCCTTTTTTATATCTTTCAAAGAATCCTTAGAAAGGGATCAGAGCCCCGTGGATGATGGACTTCCGAGTGTCTCGGAGCTTGACAAGAAGGCCCTGAAAAGAAGCAACAGTGAAACCTTCCTAAGCAGTGCTGCAGGAGGAGACATTCTGCGGGGCCACGAGGAAACCTGTATCAGGAGAGCTGAGGCTGTGAAGCAGCGAGGAATCTCTGTGCTCAATGAAGTTGATGCCCAGTATAATGCTCTGAAGGTGAAATATGAGGAACTTCTGAAGAGGTGTCAGATGGATGAAGATTCTGTGAAACACAAGGCAGTGCAAACACTGAAGCAGTATTCCAAAGACCTTAATGTGGGGAATACCCAGTATGAGCTTGCAGCTAGCAATCAAGAAGTTACCAGTGGGGAACTCAGTGACTCTCCCACAAATGCTCTTCCTGAATATAAAGCACTCTTCAAAGAAATTTTTAGCTGTATCAAAAAAACAAAGGAAGAAATTGATGAACACAGAGCTAAGTACAAGGCTCTCTCTTCCCAGCCATAACACTATACATGCGGATCACCCATTCTCTGTAGCTGGGTAATTTGTATCAAAAAGGAGAGAAAAAACTTTACCAATGCCAGAAGCTCCGTTATTGATTGTATTTTTGAACACTCAGAGTGAATGTTTTGTTTGTAAATATGTAGTTAATAAGTTCATTAGTTAAGGGCTAGTCTCTATACTTATGTAGCAGTAGATTTAATGTTTAGTATGACCCACAAGCTAAAGATTGTAAAGCAAACCAACATCATAGCTGTATTTTCATACTAGACTTAATCCCTGGCCACAGCAATAACTGATTATCTTATTCAGTCCACTTCAAAAAGATAGATCTAAGGAATCTGTACCATTCCTCTCACAATTGGGCTAAAGCTTTTGGTCACAGGTGATGCCCTTGTAAGTTGGTGTAGAAAGTAAAATGGAATCCCAGAACACTACTATGGGCAGCCTCTCCTTGATTTTTGAGTATGAAGTTAGCAGTCTAAGTCTGGCTGAGCTTGCTTTGGCAGGGAGGGCAAGAGCTGGTGCAGCACCTTGTGCCACACTTAGGTTAAGCTCATACCACATATTCACATGCACTAAGCTCTCCCACGGGTTATTATAAATGTCTTCCTACTAAGAAAAGGATTTGATGTGAAGCTTGTGTGACTCTTTAGGTATGGTTTGTTATTTAGGGCACTTTGTCTTAAGGCAAGATACTGTGAATTGATTCTGTATGTTACCTGGGATTATTTGTTCTCTTTTGGTGGTATATGTGCGAAGTACAGTGGTGGTTTTGTGTATTTGGTAAGATAGAAAGATGGAATTTAGCTATTTAACTTTAGCAGTAGCGTTGACAGAGTAGAATAGCTTTTTAGCTTACATACCACAGACTCCAAGTGCTTAAGGGTCACAGGCGAGGTAAAGCCTTATACCAGTGTGGCCGTGGATGCAGCTCGAGCTGCTGCAGCCCCGGTGCCTGCCCCGACTCTGCCAGAACACACCCTGCTGCAACAGGGGCCCGCTCTCCTCCTCCTCTCCTGTAGGAATTAGAGTTCTGAAAAACAAAGAATATACAGAAGTGGTTTCTTTAAAATGGCTTTAAAATATGGGAAAGAAAGGGGAGAGGCACCCAGAAAGGTGACATCCTTCTTATAATGGGTCTCATAATTTTGTCAGCTGTTCAGGGAAAGCAACTTACTGCCTGTCTGCTTGAGTTGCTGCAATGTACTAGACAGTTGATGTGGTGTTGACAGCTTCTCAGCTTTAGTTCAACTGCTGCTATTACAGTTTTGTCTGCCTTATGTACACTGTTGAGCTTTGTATAGTTGTCCTTAAGTTGCAGTATTAAGACTTCGTATTGTAAAAATTGACCAAAACATGTATTGCATTCTAAAAATTTTATTTAAAAATGGGAATTGATTCTGTGAGTGTATTTTTTTCCTAAGCAAATAAGTAATCCAGTCAAGCTACATGTGTAGGCTACTAATTATGCACTATCTATGCAGATCAGGAAAGAGTAGACTTGGTGCAGATGGCACCTTCGTTATCTACAGTTGCCATCTCTCCCAGCTAGCTCAGATGGAGTTCCCATTAAATTTGTATTTTAAAAGTTACACTGAATGGGAAAGGATAGGCCTCCCTGTACTAGAAAGCCAGAGGGAACTAATTACTTTCTCCTTTTTGGGTGTTAGTATAGTTCTTGGTGTGTGTTTTCTTTTTTTAAGCAGTTTTCCAGTGCCCCAGGTTAAGTATGGAGGCAGTGAGTAGAGGCACTGGATCCTCCTCGGAGGTCGGCCCCGGCTCGGATCCCTGAAAGCTGCAGTACTGTTGGGCACCAGCTATTTATTACTGCGGTTAAGAGGATGGAGATCCAAGCCTGTTGTACCAGAAGATAGGTGCATGCAATTGCAGAATAAATGCTGGATCTTCAATGGCTTAGTACTGTTGATGAATTTACTGCAGTTTTTTATGTATACAGCTTTCAACTTTTAAAAGTATTCCAAGTGTTCTCAGAGTTCTCTAGAAGCACTTGATTTTCTTGTAATATAACTTGCCCTCAGCCACCTGTGCAATTGCTAAGCTCCAGCTTTAACACTTTTAACACTTACCTGTACATCTCGTGCATTGGAAGAGGCCCAAGTTCCTGCCTAAGCTTTGGCTGCGGCTGTGCCAGGGCGCAGCTTTCTGTGCACAGCCCTAGAGAGCAGGGTGGCCCCTCAGCTGTGCTGGGCAAGTCCCTGCCCTGGGGACATGGAGCAAACCAGGACAAGGGCAGCAGAGGCTGCCTGACCTTCACCCCTCCCACTTACACTGCTGTAGTAGAGCCTTAGTAACCACGTTAGAGGTTTAGCTGTTTAAACACTGAGTTCATCTTTCACAGGAAGTGTGAAATGCTACTAAGAACAGCAGCAATCAATATTCTTTGCCAATATTCTGTAACTTAGCTACCTTAATTCCCTTATTTCAGTCAACAATTCCATTCAGCCTCTTCTGAAAATTAGTAGAAGGTAGTAGAATTTATTTTAGCTTCTCTCAATTTGATTGAAAATATACTCAGCAAAATCCATGAACTGTGGAGTAACTCTACAATTATTACAATATTTGATTCCTTATCATATTATAACTAAACTTATAAATGACAGCCTTCTCAGATAAGAAAAACATCAGTTACTATACTTAGGGGCCTGCTGCACAATTAAGATAACCATTTCTAGGCACCCCTAGAGAAAATTATATAAGCAGAATAATTTAAAGCAATTTAAGAGGTGGCTTATTCTGTACCTCCACTACAACCTTCCTGAGCACTCCTTCCATTACAAGCCTCCACGCTGAAAGAGCTGGGACAGCTTCCAGTTCTTCAGAGACAAATAGAAGCAGCCTAGATGAAGATGTCACAGGTGACCTTCAAGATAAAATTTTATTTAAAAAATTACATAAAATATAGGTCTTGCATTGTTGCCAAGTGTGATAACTACAGCTGGCTGCCTTCAGTTACTTACCTTGCTGCAGCTGCATACAATGATATCCCCCAAACACAGCTGTACCAGTAAAAGAAATCCAGTAGTTGTTCCATACGTTTCAAACATAATTACTTTTCCAAATAACTCATTCACAAACAATAGGTGAGAACACTTGTTACATAGTACAAGGTTGAGAGCACTATTTGTTTTCCCCACCCTTCCGTCCCCTGGCCCCACGTTTTTCATGAACATCACTATTTTCTCTTTATAAAGTTCGGTGCAAGGGCTATTGTACTGCTCAGATTACAGTACGAGCATTTAGATATTTAACAGAAACTGGGATGTTTGTAAACAATTTTAATTTATTGGCATTACTTACAAAATAAAATATTAGACCATGATTTTTCCATCACGTCTGTGTCAGTATATGGTTTTATTTCATTATAACGAAACAGAAGAGGAAGCAAAATACATCAGGAATCCCAGACTAATCAAACTGCAGCCAGGGTCCCGTGTTGTCTTCCTCGCTGCTCTCTGCACTGAGGCGGCCATGCAAACACGTGTGGGAGGATGTTGGGATGTCAATGACTTGTCTTTCCGCAATGCCCGTGGGACCCCGGCAGGTCAGACCCTGCCCCGCGCTCCCCGAAGCCCAGGCATTACTCTGTGTCGCCCACCGCAGATTTCCTCTTTTGTCCTGGAGATAATTGGAAGTAAAGCCAGTCCTACCACTGTTGTCAAGACTGCACCGTCCCCTTAAGATACCACATGCCGCCGTAGCTTACGCAGCAGTCCTGGGGAGGAAGAGAGATGTCAGCAGAGCCACGGCCACAGAGCGGGCTACCCTCGAAAATTAAAAGCACCCAACACACCACAGTGGAGCACACTGCCCATTTGCACCACGAATCTGGCCTACTGCTCTTCTCACATATGTATTTTATATATGTGCACCTGAGCAGAGCAATAGGCCAGATCCTTCTATGTTTGGTGTGTGTGTGCATATATATTTCTACACATACACACGGTGTGTGTATATATATATACACACACACACATATACTGGAGAGTCACAGTCCCACATATGTTGTACCTGAGTCACACTGTTCACCTGGGTTAGTCAGACCAGTGGCCAGAATCCCACAACCAAACGGGAAGCACTTCCAGGCCTGCAGTGTAAGAGGAGACCTCTGTGTCCTGGGAACCATGGTTTGGTTTTGTGACAACATGTGATTAATAAGAAAGGCCCTTCCCTTGCACAAGGGAGCACAAATCCAAAGCAGCAGGTCTCTGCCCTGCAAAGAGCAAATTCAGGTGACAGACACCGAGAGGGAGGTCAGGAGGCCCCAAGGATGATAAACAACGTGATGGCAGCAAGGCCCAGACTTTTCCGCTCAGTGGAACTGGGGGAGGACAGAAAAAAAGACTTGGGAAAGGTTGAGGGGAGAGATGAGGGCAAGGGGAAGCGGGGAGCAAACACGGCTGAGGCTCAGGGCAAGGAGTGGAGCTCAGAGGCAGTCTCAGAACGGCAGCACTGCGAGCAGCAGCCTGCACAGCCGAAGCCCAGAGCTGCCCCTGAGCGCGCGGCTGCCAGGCTCACAGCCCCCAAGCACACGCTGTTAGGTGCCTTTTCGGGTGGTTTGTTTCCTTATTCCTATTAAATGAGCACCAGTTCTCTTGGACTACAAGCTAATAGCTTGCTTGTCTTTTGTTCCTGCTCTCCACTTGGGCAATTCCACACAACTAAAGTGCTGCTACAGACCTGCTGCTGTCAGCCTTACAGAACAAAGTTTTTTATTCTTCCTCTGAAGGCTCAGGACTCGCACCGCCCGGAAGCCACACGCTCTGCAGATATTTGTCCCTGAGGGAATCAAGTGTGCAGGCTAGAAAGAGGGCCTGCAGTCTCTATCTGTGATGCAAAAACGCAAACTCTGACAGTCTGTTCCTCTATGTGTAAAAAAGGCCATATACAGACGAGGCAATAGAAGTCAACAACTACAACTTCATTCAGACAGGTATCTAACCTCTCAAGTTTAAAAGAAGCCAGGTAATTTTTCTCTTTTGTTAAATCATATTTTAAAATTTGTATTTCAGAAATAAAAATTTCTTTCATAAATTTCTGTGACCCACGTATTGAAGCAAAGAATTCTGATAGAACCCAAAGTCTGGTTGAATGGCTACTTACATTCATAAAAGCAGTATCTACATTTTTAAAACATTTTTTTTTCTCCCAGAAATTAATCACTAAATCTACATGAAATCTAATGCAAGTACACTGCTCTAATATTCCAGGAAAGCTGCTATTTGTGCTCATCCAGTCACTTGACAAACCTCCTGGCACAAGGAAGCCACATGAAAGAAATCCTGTCCAACAGGCAGAAAAATGAATTTATTTTACTGCTAAGAAGACCAGATTCTTTCAAGCCGACTGGTTTACTTATCTTCACAGCAACAGACCTATAATTTTCCAAATATGCCATTATTCAGTTTAGAGATCCCAGCATTAATAGTACTTAATCACTTGTTTTAGTGAAGTAGGTGATGATAAGCAAAAGTATTGTATTAGTTAGCAGATTTCTCCTTAATCACCTTGCACTGCATTAAAGCCTGTCATTCAACAGCCTGCACAGCTCTCACTTCATACCTTATACTCCTTTACAAAGTAAATGGTTATCTTCAAAGACAGAGATAAAGGACTCAAACCTACCATCACCATGAAATGCGTTACCTAGTACTTTATCAGCTGGCTCTGGTTAGGCTTTTGTTACCTACACTACTGCATTTCCATCTGGCTCTGGAACTTCTGCTCTTCATTAACCAACAGCAGTCACAAGGTAAACTTGAATATTGTGCAGAACACTCCTACCTGCTTAACGCTTAACTCTGCACTATTTAAAGCATGTAATTTACCACACTGTTCATTGCTGGTCTAAGTTAAGAAACAATTGCAATTACACAAAATAACATCAGAGTCAAAATCATTTTTCTTTGGAGGGGAAAAATGTAGAATGACACAAGTGTATATCAAGGAAAATGGGATGAAAAAAAGGCCCTGTCCACATTCCAGCAGCAACTATGCTAGTATGATTATCTCTTGTCCAAGTAAAATTATACAATCCTTTGGTCAAACCACGGCATTAAAAATTCATGCATCAATTGGATTAAAACCACAAGTGAATAGAAACTTACCTTTAACACTCTATCCACCTCCTGCTTGTTTAGATCTTCTCCACATTCTTGACTCAATTGATTCTGGATAACATTCCTGCGCACTCGATAATTTTTTGAAAAGATTTCAAGCAAAACTTGGCGATGCTTTAAAAGAAAGAGAAATAATACATGAAGAGGTAGAAATAATTGTTCTTCATTGTGAATCAAAACTGCATGCACCATAGTCCACACAATGCATTTAATGAACTGAATCAAAGTAATCCTTTGTAATCCTGAAACTGTCCCTTTAGAACAGCTCTCTACTGCCTTTTTGCCCCAAGGCCCTACAGGGATCAATCTGCACCTCCTTGTTTACCCAGGACACCTCCAGAGCTACAAGCAATGGTGAGAGTAGGGGCTGCAGTGCATTTTCCCTCAAATGCTTCTATGAGAGTCAATGTGATTCACTCCAGACAGGCAGCTGGATATCACTTCTCTCTTTAACGGGATATTAGAATGCGTTAGTTTTTCCTATTAAAAAAAAAAAAATCATTTAAATCAACGACCCAGAAGTTCTATTTGCTAACCAATATTTTGTTAGGATCCTTTTGCTCCATTTACTTGTGATATCAGCTAAAAACCCATGAGGTAACAGATACCATAATTACTTCCTAGTCTAAATATAGCAGCTGGATATCACTTCTCTCTTTAACAGGATATTAGAATGTGTCAGTTTTTCCTATTAAAAAAAAATCATTTAAATCAATGACCCAGAAGTTTTACTTGCTAACCAATATTTTGTCAGGATCCCTTTGTTCCATTTACTCATGATATCAGCTAAAAACTCATAAGGTAACAGGTGCCGTAATTACTTCCTATTCTAAATATTAAGAAAAAACAGACACTTCAGGTACCACCATCATTTAATCAGTGGTTAATGCTGTGTTATCATCAGAAGGAACAAAACTGGGCTGGATCCCAGTGTATGGCCTCCACTAGGGAATCTATTCTCTTCACACATTCAAAATTACTCGCACTCCCTCAAGTTAGTTACCAGCATTTATTGCTGTTGCTGCCTCCACATTGCCCTGGCTTGACACAGCAGTCAACACCTCAAACTCAGCCCTTGCTCTCAGGGGCTCCCTTGCTCCCAGGGATAGGCTGGTGTTGAAAACCGGGGACTGCCATGGGGAAAGGGGAAAACTACCTGCTATATCCCTTTCTGAAACACAAATGCAAACAGTGCGGATACTCAACATCCATATATTCAGGACTGTTTATTTTTATCTGTACCTGGTCGTATGTGTCACCAGCTTCCCAAAGTGCGTAAACCTTTAGCTCGTCTGGCGAAGCAGCAGTCTGTGGAGGAAACTGAGAACAAGAGGTTGTTAAAAATAACAATCTATTTAATGAGTTCTGCTTAATGATTCCGTGATACAGTATCCCTGGGCACCTATTACTGAATAAGTGTCATGACCACGTAATGAGAATTGCTGGAAAAACATAAGCTCCATTCCCTGTTCAAAGGGGCATTTTGTTCTGGCAGCCCCTGTGCCCGTTCAGGCCTGGCTGCTGTGGGGAGACACCTCCTCCTACACCCTGATGGCTTCAAACAAACCACGACCCCCAGCCAAGCTGTCCCGCGAGGTGATCTCGGAGCGCACGGGTCCGAGGTACCGAACAGGTAGCAGCGGCCTCGGGAACGGGACGAGCGCTCCGGCGTCCCCATGACCTCGGTGTGCCAGAGCCACCAAGCGCTGCAGCCATCCCACGCCTGGGTCTTAACCAGCATTTCCATAACACAGGTCTGCGCCTTTCTTGTCAACAGCATTTGCTTCCAGGCCACCAGCTGCCCAAAGCAGAACCCAGCTGAGAGCACCAAGTGCATTTCGGGGCACCTTCTGAAAGTTTTTATGTTCGGAGCAGCAGGTTTTAGACATTGGGGCTCCCTGCTGCATGTGCCTGCTCTGCGAGCCCCAAGTCGGGGTGCTGCAGGAACACTGTACTCCGGGTCTGTGAGCCGGTTTGGGGCAGGCTGCTGGGCTCTGGGTGACTGAGCCTCTAACTGGGACACCTGCTCCCTTCAGGCTCCAGAAATGAAGCTTTTCTCTTCCCATGTGCCAAGGTGGAGAAAAACCATTTGGTTCTTCAGAGCCCTTGCAGCTGGGAAGGGATACGAGTGCCCCCGCCAGTGCTACACACTCCTGAAAATATAAAATATCCTCCATTTGCCTCAGAGCTTTTCCCCTCAGAGCAGCGACTAATGAGCAATGCTGGAATACGCCTTTGCTCCTGACATGTCTCTTCCTGTCTGTCACTAGCAATTTATTCCTTGCTAACTGCCCAGACGACCTAAATCAATCATCTCTGAGACGCTAACCAGCTACTTGTGACTGCTCCGGCGCTCCTCAGCACGGCGGCTCGTGCGAAACCAGCCTGTCCTCCCAGTCCTCTCGCGCCGGGCCCGGAGCCTTGTGAGGGAACCAGCAGCCCTCACGACCACGCTTATCCAGTGCAAAGGGGAGAGCTTTTCCCACGGGGAGCTACGTGGTGGGATTAACAGCTCCCGCGTTCATCCACATGGCTGTAACATAATGAGGTAGGTGGTAACAGCCAGGATTAGGGTTTATTGGGATTTCAATACAGGCAATTCTTGTACAGGCAGTCTCAGCTTTGAACAGCTTTCTACCACCTTCAAATCCTTATTTAAAATGTTTGCCCCATGTCCCCGCCAGCTCCGCTGCCCAGGGTGGTGCTCAGCTCTCTGGGGACAAACTGCTGCCCTGGGTCCCCAGGGCCGCCGGGCTGAGGCAGCAGCTCTTGGAAAGCGCCACTGGCTTCAAGACGCGTCTCACGAAAGCCCTGAGCTTAGCCTAAAAATAGTCACTGCCTGGCAGCCTCGTGTTTCAGTTAACCCAGAATGAATGAATGGGGCTGAACCTGCCAGAACAACTAATCAAGTGAAATAATCTGAGCGATAAGACTAGTGCTGAGCACTCCTCCCCGGGAGCTGCAGCGCCTGCGCGAGGCCAAGCGGCTCTCGGAAAGAGCAGGACCACATTCCTGTCCCGTTACCCAAGCAAGGACAGAAGCAACAACAGCTACATCATTTCCCGACTCCTAAAATTATTCTCAGAACTTGGACAGAACCTCAGCAGGCCACGGACCCCAGGAAGGGAGCCAGCAGGAGGCAGCCAGCCCCACGCATCCACGCCGGTGCGTAAGAAATGGGAGCAAACATTCAGGGACGAGCTTCGGGCTCCGCTTCCGCGGGGAACGGGAGCCCAGGCTCAGCCAAGGACGAGCTCCGAGCGCAACTGCGCAGCGTAAGCGGGGCCGGGGATGCCTCTCCCGCCCTTGCCAGCGCGGCCGAGGCCGCTGCGACGGGGACCCGCGGCTTCCCCCCGGTAACGCTGCACGGCGCAGGGCAGCCGTCCCCTCGCCGGGGAGCCTCGCAGCTTCTGGCAGCTGCTCCCTGCAAGGACTATGTGATTTGGGCCCTGGATGCAGCTTCAAAAACTCCTTTGCTCCCTGCTAAGGTTTTAGTTGCCATTTTCAGCAACATGTCTTCTATAATAGGGCGGCATGCAAGCCAGGAGTGTCTTCACCCACACAGAACATCCTTTTAATTATCTCAGATCATTGATTTTTATCACCAAAGCAGTTTCAATTACAGAAAACTAATGAGCAACTATGAAATCCCAAACTACGCAGCCCCCAGGCTTTCACGGAGCTCCGGCAGCCTCGCTGGGCTCTGACAATGCTGTCCATGTGAACAACCAAGAAACGCCACGGCCGAGGAGCCCGCCAAGAGCACAACCAGCATCTCAGCTGTGCCCAGAGAACACGAGCTGGGAGCTTGGGGGTAACAATTTACATTGCTGATGGTGACCGTACCGGCTTATCCAGGCTCCTGTTTTGCAGGATTGAGTTTTGCAGTAAATTCTGGGTTGGCAGGATTTAAACTCAAAAGGGAAGTGCCAGCCACTACCTTTAAACCTTGCAGGTTCTTCCATTTCCAGGAGGAAGGCAGCTCCCCACCACCTGTCATCAGGAAGTTTTAGTTTGGTTCTTTGGAAACAACAAAAGGAAACCGCTGTCTTTCACTGCTCACAGCATTTAAAGGAAGAGCGAGCAGAACCATTTCCAGAGCTCCCAAGGCAAGCGAGTCCCAGTCCCAGGCTACACAACAGCCATAATCTCCATGCTTTACACCACGTACTAGAGAGCCAAGCCCACAGGAAGAGACAGCTCCATGCAAGCATCACCCTGGGACCTGGGAGCCGTCAGGAGAGCCAAGCAGAACGCAGGGAAACGGGCGCTATCCCTAGTGGCTTTTCAAGAGGGTCGCTCTGGTCGCAGGCTCCGTGATACCCACCTCGCACGTGTCCCCCCTGCCCAGGCCACCGGCTCCCTCTCTGCCCCCTTCCCACTCTTTGAAGCACTTCAGGCATCTCCTTCCCTCTCTCCCCAAAGGCAGTTGACTCCCAGTTTCTCTCTCTGGCTGCAGCCCACTGAGCACTGCCAGATGGCTTGGAAAACGATTTTCCTTTCAGGCTCTTCAGCAGAATGTCAGATTCCCTCTCCTTCCCCCAGCAAGCTGCTGACACACAAACCTGCCTCCGACTCGCGCAGCAGTCGCACACAGGTAATTTCCATAAAGACAAAGAAACACAGACACCCCAAGGGGCTCAGAGCAAAAGGGTGCCGCGAAGGCAGCGCTGCGGGCACGGCGGGTTCGCAGCGGACGCTGCCAGACCTCACTGCTCCCCATGCCGCAGCACCCCGGGCAGGGGCTCGTGGCCCCAGGGCTTTCTCCTGCCCTGGCTCCTGTTACAGGCACTGGGACTCGGCACCACGGGGAGACAGTGCCTCCCAACACAGCTCGCTGGGAAGCAGCCCCAGGGCCAACTGCAATGCCACACAGAGCAAAGAGAGCAGACTGGGGGGCTGCCAGAGGCAGAGGTCCGACCAACCTCCGGGAGCTTCCACAATATCCGACTGTTACTCGGAGCACATCTGTTCTTCCTGTCCCCCCACACGGTGCAGACATTTCACATGCCCTCATCTCCTCTGCTCAAATCATATCTCAGGAAAAACATACTTACAGGCACCAAAATCTGTTTGCAGCCAGTGTCCAACACCATGTCCTGTAGCATTTTGTCCGAAATGCCACTGAACAATGTATGTCCTGGAGGCAAACTCGCTAAGTGAAGGTTAAATAACCGTTTAAGCTCGCTCAGGGTGAGCACAAATTGTTTCTTAAATGTTGACGACACAAATGCCTTCAGTTCTTGGGCCACCCGATCAATGCAGCCTCCAGGCAAGTGGCCGTTTAAAGGGTCCGTGGAGTTGTCCTCCATGTGGAGGCCATTGACAAGGCCGTTGTTCAGGCCCTCGTAGGCTGAGGTGTCCATGGGCTCCTCGTCACTCACAGGCTCCTCTTTAATGCGGATGCTGGAAACATCCATCTTGTCTGAGGTGTCATTTGATTTCATCTCTGCCTTTTGCTTCTGGAACTCCTTCTCCAGCTGCCCATAGTTCTGCTTGACTTTTGCTTTAGCCATATTGACTCTTTGCTCCCCAGAAACCAGCAATGGACGAGCTAGCAAGAAACAAAAGATACCATATAAACATAGCAAAACTAGGGCTCCAGATTTGCAGAATCTTTCTTGATTAGTAAAAAGAATTAGTAAAAGAAGCTGGGAAACATTGTCTGCTAATGAAATCTGAGGCTTAAATCTGTAAACCAGATGAAGGGAGAAAGGTGCTCCAGTTAGGGAACCTGAAGCCAAAACAAAGTGCACTTCCAAGTGCACTTCAATTCCTAGGGACCCTAGCGCAACCAGGAAACAAACTGCTTATATATCACCACTTGCAGCCCAGATGCTTCCTTGCTAGACAGTTTTATTTTTAAAGCACTTGGAGGCTGGTAGACCATGCAGCAGCTACCGCCGGAGCCAGCACAAGCACGTCTCATGGTTACAGTGAGCAGGGTGAAGGGGTTAACAGTGGATCTGAGCACTTTTTTAGCTGCAGTACGCAGTATGAAAAGGTCCAAGACTGTCTTTTTAGTATTATAAGCCAGTGACATGAAGGAGGACCAGGACAGAGTCCTTCGTACTCAACCCTGCCCCTTTTGCCCCACAGTCCTCTAAACACCAGGCAATCTAAGACTGAAAGGAAGGCGCCTGCTGGCAGCAGAGGAATCCAGTCTCAGGCCCAAGAGAAGGAGTGCTATGTTTAAGGAAAAGGCATGCAGAGCACACACGCTGTTATCTGCGCTGCTGTTAGGCCCACTAATCCTCTCCAAATAACCCCATACCTAATCCTTCCAAGCAGATCAGACACAGGGTATTGAAATGGATTCATATGCTCGTTTGTCAGTTCTGTTTATACTCCTCATTGGCTCTAATGCCTGGCAATGAGCCAAATGTCTAGTTAAAACTCTCTGGAATCTCAAGTTTTCACAATGTTTTAGGATTATGGAGCAACTACTCTAATATTCCTACTGGCATCCATGGTGTGGCAGCATGTCAAAAAGAGACGGCTTCACACCTCCTTAGGCCCCCCTGCCAAACACATTCTTCATTAATTGCTCAGCCTTGACCACCTCACAAAGGGCCCAGTGCAAATCAAGGGAAATAAAAACACCCACCCGCATTTGAGGCTGAGTAGGGCTTGACTCAACTCTGTGCACATGAGTTTGCAAACCGAGAGGTGAGAATTACTTCTGCACTGGCCCTGTCCTCTCTTCAGGAACTGCTGGCACTGCTCCATAACTGGCGCCTTACTGGAGGAAGAGGGTAACCACCTTCTCTGACACAGTAAAATAGTTAAGTCCCCAGCGCCAAGGAACCCTCCCTGCTCTGTTACAGGGATGCTATGGCAACTCTGAGCCACCCAACAGCAACGCTAACAAAGACCAAGGCCTGCTCAAAAACATACAAAGGAAATCACACAAAAAAGGAAAAATACCAAACAAAACTGTCCCCAAAATATTCCAAAGAGAAAGAGGAAATTAAAAATATCATCTAGAAATAAGGAGAAACGCATGTGCTTCAAGATGATTCAAGTACACTTCTATTTACCTGATTGTGCCTCTTGCTTCTTTGGTGTCATGTGCTCCTTTAAGAGATTATAGACCTTTTCTAATCTGAAATACAAAAATAAAATACACCAGGACAGTTTTAGTTGTTGTTATTCCTGCATGCAGCTGCGTTAGCCATTAGCCAGAAAGCTCCATTTTCAAAAAGCTGTTCTTCAGGGAACCAAGGAATAGGAATGGCTTGACTGGAGCAGTGACACCCTCATCACTCCACTGCCTGGCTACTCGGCAAGGAAAACCACTGAGGCAATAAAGATCAAACTATCTGTCAGTGTCTATAGAAACTTAGTACTCAACAGTCCTTCACTTTAACTTATTCTCCAAAATCAAACAAGTCATTTACTTGGCCTGAATGCCCATCCACAGCATATGTTGCCTCTGAACTATATCTGGATGCTTCTTTACAAAGTCTTCATCATAAGGGAGCATGAACTCCCAGCCCTTGTTTATTCTTGCCACGGACATGTGCTCTAAGAAGTCTTTTACATCTTCTGGACAAAGCTGAAAGAAAAAGAAAAAGTATATGTAATGATGGAAAAAATATATGTAATGATGGAAACCAACTTAAATAGGACATTCGCAGCCACACAACTATGGGCTCTGCTCCAAGAGGCAAGAGTTGGATTGATTTGGCATATGTAGGACACTCAAGAACACACACCCAGGTAAGTTAGAGACAGTCATCCTTCTCTGCAGCACCAACACTTTCACAAAACGCTGAAGGCACAGCACTTCAGAGACCGGCAGTGATTAATCATTTGACAGTCAAATAGCTCATGGCTTCTTTTATAAAAGAAATGGGAGTTTCCCAGCTGAGATGAAAAGACTGAAGAGAAGCATATTCTACAATTTTAATCTTCCTTATTTTAGAGCTGTGGGTCAGACAGGCTGTCCCATATATGCATATCCTGTAAGCAGTACTGGTTCTTGTGGTCCAAAAACAGTTGGTTTTTGCATAAACTAATTCGCATTCTAACATTTTACTGCATTTTAAGGAAATATTTTTTGACATCTTTGCATTGTGTGTCTCATTCATTTGCTAGTTTTAGAGCACATGCAGGCACCTAAGTTGCCCTTAGGCAATGAACCATGCCTTTCTCCATCTGGAGACAGGTGGCTCATGTTCTATTATAGTTTCAGCTCCCATTAGTCAGCGTTGGCAACTCAGGGACAGAGCTGCTGTTTCGTATCACACAGAAGCAGAGTGGCTGGTGTGGACTGCAAGAACACTCAGCAGCTTTGGTGCAAGCTGAATGCAAACTACGTCCAGCTTGTCACTGAAATAGAGCTGAACCACTGGAACGCATCTTGTTCCCTCATCTAAGCACAAGCATGTCCTGTGGAGCCGTGGTAACTGTGGGAGCTGCTCCTAATGTTTGTATAATGAGTATGTATCTACACCTGCTCCAAAGTGAAGGCATGCAGGGTGGCAACACTGCAAGTCAGCAGTAATGCAGACACTGCAACCTAGACAGAAAAGGCTTGCAGCAGCACCCACTACAGGCCTGCAAACAACATTCAGTGCTTATCACCAGCCTCTGCTTTGAGAACTAAAGAGAGTCACTCACTTTTGTAACTGTCGCCACTTCCTTTCGCACAACCCAGCGATCCTGCGTGAACTTCCACATCTAGAAAGGGAACACAGGAGAAAATCCCTAATAACTATATTTAGTATTTCTGTCATTTAAGTTAAAGCTATAAGGTTGTTCAGCAATGTCACCAGAAGAGAAACCCTACTCCTTCCGAGGGCACAGAATTAGGTGATTCTCAGCCAGACAGCAGGAAAGTGTTTTTTTGCTTCCTTCCTCAAAAGACTATGACTCCAACATCAAAAGCTTCAAGAATCCATGATTTTCCTTGATGAACATGTGACTACAAAAGCTATGAAGAGTCTTTTGAACCCAAATCCCTTTTGTAAAAAGATCCCCACCAAACAACAACAAAACAACAATAAACCAACGCAAAACCCAGTGCAGCCCTGCTGGGACTGCCAAAGTCACAGTGTCACACCCGAGGCTCAAATTCTAACAACGCACCGACCGCCACCCTGGAGAAACTCCATCCACCTCTGTTAAGGTGGGTGCCCAACGAAGCTGGCGACTAATGCCTTCTACAGCCTCCTAAAATCATATGTGTCTGTTCTGTCTGAATATGACCTTTGATTTCTTCCTGTCTCCATTTAAATAAATTACAGCCTCTTTAGTCTATATTAATAATGTCGTGAAGAATTTAAAATCTTGTTCCTTACAATTATTCCTTGTCCTGCCATGTTGCCCAAGCATTCTTCTTCCAGATTAAGCATTTCTCTGTCCACAAACAAACAAAACAACTATCCTCAATTTAGGGCACAGGATATTTCTGTTTTAAAGTACAAGGAGCTGATGTTCAAAGGAAATGTATTTATCACCTCTCCTTGCACAATACATCCAGCTCTGAGGCAGCAGTTTCTCATGAAGCACTTCAACCTCAACTAGAGCCAAGAGTACCCATGTCCTCTGAATTTACTAAGTGACAGTCTGTGTAAAAAACAGATGCTTCTGAAAAAGATGCAAATTGGTTTTACTCCTTCCCAAGGTATAGTATGGAACAGTTGGACACTGAAGTCGGTGCTGGCTAAAAATACCTTTGAATGTATTACTTTACATGAATGCATATATAGGGAAATAAAGTTTACTTTCTAGATATAAAACATGTTTTCGCTATTCTCTTTATTACAGCCTTACATAGTATTTCTGAGTCTTATGAACATAACATTTCATTTTGTCTGAAAGACAGAAATATTGATGCTTTCTGTATTCTAACATTTTAGCTTTTTCCTCCTGTGGCAGAGTTCATCAACAAATTACCTGCCTTTAAAAGCAAAGACACATTTCCTGTGCAAGCTATACTTGCCATTATTCACAGGAGACTAATTTATCTTCACATCTTAATCTAAACATTACTGCTTATCTAATTTAGCAGAGTTCCTAGACCTTTACGCATGACATGTTACCTAATCTGCTGTGTCCTAGGGACTTAATTCACTGGGTCACACCTGCATCCAGGTCTCCATATGGCAGCGTCTTGGGCAGACAGACATCAAGGCACAACAGAAAGTCAGCTTCAATCATCCTCAGTTTTATCTTACACTGGCGCTGCAACCCTCCTAAGTTCTCTTGCACAGCATGCTCCTATTCAGAGCTCAATCTCACACAGAAACTTTACAAACAAAGAGACCAGTCAGGTCTAACTGGAAAAAGCATAGCAACGCACTTGTCAGCATCTCTTTGACAGAGCGGAAGCTAAATACTGAATACGGACTTAGGAACCACTTAGGAACTTAATTCTTTCTATGGTTAGCAAAAATAAACACAGTGCAGAAGCTGTTCCTTTTTGCTATGGTTACAGGCCTGTTCATGAAACCTGTATTTGTTTCAACTTCCACGTGCAGCCACTGCTCACAGAAGGTGCTTAGGAACAAAGTCCTTTCGCTGATTAGCAGCTCTGGTGAGTAAAGTCCTTTTCAAAGGCCAACGGTGCCTGACCAGGGAGCACAAGGCTTAACACACACTGCTCTCCTGGCACCTCACGGTCCTGCACCCAAGGAACTGTATCCAGAGGAACAGGCACTCCATGATCTCACCCTGGCTTCTCGGTGAGGCCTGCACTGTGGGGCTGTGTGATGATGGCTCTACAGCGCACATTAGAAATGGAAGAACAACACACTGTTACTGACAAATGATCCGAACCTGCAGCCAGCCACAATGCCAATCCGCAAACAGGCCCATGACGCACTTGCAACAACACAGTCAGGATTAAAATGCAAATAATTTACTCAGAGAAAACATCCTATTGTAGTTGAGTAGCAGTTTTGCCATGCCATGGCCTCTCAGGCAGGCCTCAACTCTTTTTTTAGTTTGTTTTTGTTTTTTAAATAACAAATTCTTTTGTACTTACAACAAAGTCTCTCCCTCTACAAAGCACTTCTGCAGGAACTCCACTATGTGGGCTAGAAGTATCTTTTGGGTAGAGGACATCACTGTTAATTAAAGAGGAACCAGGATTAGTTACTAGGTACTGCAACTAAATGCTATTAGTGAAGATTAACATAACAAACACGTTCTCCCCATTCTGCAGTTAAATTACACCTTTATCCAGAGCTTGGTCTACATTAAAGGAACTAATATAGGTGTAATTGCATCACTGCAATTGCACCAGGAGAAAAAGTGCTTATACCAGCAAAGCCTAATCTTGTGACTAGCAGATGTGTACAACACAGGTACAAGCGCTGCTTTGTTGAGGAAAAAGTCTGCGCTCCCTTGGATCAGCATAAACAAGACCACAGAGATCCTAACAAATGCTTGGGCTAACCTGGTAAGCAGCCTCGAAGGCAGCGCTCAGCCAAAACGCTGATGACTCCTTTCCAGCAATCAAGGACTTGAGAGGGCAACGCTATAAAATTCATTGCTCAAACCAGACAGCCTTGGGACCAGCATGACCCTTTTTCCCCGGCCGTTTGCAAGGCCAGCTGGATGGTGTCTGTCAGCACAAGTCCCAGAGTCTTGAGGCCACTCAGGTTCATAATCCTGTTTCTAACCAGACTGGAGAAGTGGGGCCCCCTTCACGCTAGGCTCTGGTGCGTGCAGGTGCTGCTCTGCACCCAGCCATGCCAGACACGTTACATCTATCAGAGATACACACAGCCCCCTCACAGAAGTAGGGGTGCTCATATACAGTATTAGCTGGCTCACAGTTTCCTCTGAGAATGGCTGGGAGACGACAAGAGTTGCTGAAAGAATATTCACACTGCTAACTTGTGCCTGTATCACAATAGCTACAACACATCCTACTAACACACCCGCATTGGTAGCTGGTGCCATTCATCTTAGACTAAGCTATCGGGAGACAAAAACGCTCTGCATGCAGTTTTCCACCAGGTAAAACTCATACTGCATTTTAGATATAAATTCCCAGCAGGATGCTTTATCCTAATAAACAGGAGGATGATACAGAGTCCATTTCATGTACTGCACGTAGTATCCCCTGCTTGATTTATCAAGCAGATAAGGCCTTCGAGCCAGCAGCTTTCAGCTGACAACGGCAGCATATCCAACAGCAGCAAGTTGACTGCACAAAGACCTTTCTGTGACTGAATTTACCCAAGGAGAATTAGAGCTGACACTAATTTCATTTTGGGTGTGCGTGTTTGACTAGTCTCTGGAAGGACAAGGACTCAGGACTGTCCTCTCCCAGAGGAACATGAGTGAAGACAAAACCAAAACCTGACAGAATTAAAACGTAAATACAGGTGTCAGGCATCAGCCATGATTTTAAATGAGATAGGTAATGAGCAATTTTCCATTTAACCTCAGCCCTTTAAATTTGAATACCCAACTTCACTAAAGAGCACTGAATATTAAACCACGATTTTAAATCACTGCGAGCTAGGCACATGGCTACTTTTGTGCAGATGAAAAGCAGCTTATAAAACCCATTGTTCTGTCTCTCTCCTTACTGAGGAAGCCCCGTCGCAGGCACAAAGCCCAGCCATACCTCTTCACCACCCAGTTTCCCTGGACCAGCATTGCCACCTGCTGTATGCAGCGGAGAACAGCCGTAGAGTCACTCCCAGAGCCCAGCAAACTCATCAGGTTAGCGAAAGGCATGACCTTCACTGAAAGACAAAATATACAGCAGCTTGAAAGTTCTTTTCATGCACGTGACACAGATTTATAAATCTGCAATACTAGGATTTATGTTTATGTTGAAATTTACAGTCAACTGTACCTTAGAAGAAAGAAAAAAAAAACCAAAAAAAAAACCCACACTTGTGGTAACCCTGCACTGCAGTCAGTATTTGTTCCAAAAGCATCAGCTAGTCTTGCATCAAAATTAATTAGCTTAACCAGTCACAAATTAATGCATTATTAAAAATAGATAAATAAATAAATCTATGTCAGCAATATCTGGAAACAGAGACAACTGATATGACAGCAAACTCCTGAGGCAACGTCTTCAGAATCTGTTCTCTTCAAATAGTCAGCAACTCCAGAGAGACAGAGTAAAACCACCTCAGATGACACTCAGGAAGTAGGTATTACTGAAGCTACCGTCAGATTAGAAATTATTCCAAAAGCATATTGATTACAAACACAGAACAGCTGTGTTAGCCCTGCTGTTATTTCTCTTCTCATCCCCCAAACTAGCTGGATTCTGCACAAGAAAGTGCTCAGGATTTGGATGTTTCATAGAATCAAAAAAACAGACCAACTGTCAGAACTGACACTACAGAGCTGACCAGGAAAGTCCTTACTTGAGGCAACTAGAGATCACAAAGAAAAGCAAGCCAAGAGATTACAAAAGCTACAAACCATTCTTCATCAGGATCTTAATCTGATCAGCAAGGGGTAAAGTTCTCAGCTGGGCCATGGAAAGCACATTGCTTGGAGCCATGGGTTTGTCTCTGCAAATAAACAAACAGAGCTGCAGCTTGTAGAAAACAACATCCAGACAGCATTGTCTTTGAACATTCTGTATAAACACTTACTTCTCTTCCTCTACGCTTGGAGGCATCAGCATCATTAAATATTCACTAAAGAAAAAGAAAACACATCCTTAAAAATGCTTATCTTGGGATCTTCCAGGTTTAAATACAGTCATTTCCTGCTTAGGGCAATCCTGTTTGTATGAATCTACAAAACAAACATTAGCTTGAAAAGAGAGCATTTCTTTCTCTCTCCCACCTTCCTTTGTACATACAGTGCTAGCAAAAGCTATTGACATTCATTTGTCCAAAGAGAAGGTTTGAAACAAATGGGAATCAGACACTCCAGCTCCTCTGCACATAAGAGATGCCCAAACAGAGGACCTCCAAGAGGTGCTCTGACAAAACAGTATGCGGGAACATGCGACATCCTGCAGAGACAGGCACCAACAAGCACAGAGTCCTTTCCAGCCATGCAATCATGAGTGCTTTATCATGAAGACATAATTAGATCCAAAAGACTTCTCAGAACAGCTAGTGCTGTTCCACTGAGATGTAAAATATTAAGAACACCACTGTCATGTCATTAAACAGAGAGAAAGAGGGTGTCTTTCCTACTACTTGGGCCCTAGTTGTATCAGTTTACAGGGAAGCACTACTGCTGACTACATCGTGGGAAGATTTCCCTATCTCCCACATAGCTGCAGTCTCTGAGAAACAAAAAGGAACAAACTACAAGTAACTTCATGTGTCTCTTACAAATCACAAAAGAAAGTTTCATAATAGTCACTAACAATGGAAGTTGTTGACTTCAGAGTCTTTGTTTCTTTTAAACAGCAGGAGCTTTTGCTTTACTTTTCCTTTACATTATTTACAGCCCCAGTAATGCATGGTTGTGATAGTGTATTAAAGGCTACACTCCCAAGTGAAAACAATTAGCTCTAATCTCAGAGCATTTGCGTAAGCTGAAGACAGATAGTGTGTTTGCTTTTTGAAGCAAATGAAATGAAGTATGTTTTTATCACAGATAGTCTCATGTACTTCACAGATCAGACTTTTAAAGAAAAAACCTACCCTGAAAACAATCCAAACAAATTATTGCAATGTCTGTAAGAGATCATAACATTTATACCTGGGAGATTTAATTAATTCCGTGTTCTCCGCAAGGCCATGACCTTGACTGAATAAATACTGGCGCTCATGTTCAGAACGGCTGTCCTGGAGATGTGCAGGAAAACAAGAGTCACTGGCACATACAGAAAAGATGCCAAATACCAGAGAGTTGAATTCCTCATGCAAAACCCATCCTTCAAGTGCTCCGTTTTGCTAATTCATGCTCTGCTTTCATATTCCTGCATGATGTTCATGTAATACAGGAACTTTTCAGTCGATGCACTTTCAAAGCCTCCTGCCAGACATGCATGCTGTATCAAATAAACAGGATTTCTGGCACTCAGCTGACTGGTTTCCCTGTTTTACAAAGCCCCTAAGTCAAGACCCGAGCAATTCTTGGACTCAGCTTCCCCTTTATGTCTGCCTAGCTCTCCATTTTAAACCTTTTTCAGTATTGACACTTCAAAATATTGTACGGCGGAGGAGGTATGGAGCACTGCAAGGTTCGCTCAAGCTTACAGACCTACTTTTCTTTGTTATCTTTTGACAACTCCCTCATTTCCCATGGGCCCAGATCTAAAAATAGTTCTAGATTCAGCTGAGCCTTCTTCAGGCACAGCAGGCTTCCTCTCTGGACAGCACGCAGCTACCTTGAAGCCATAATAATGTAGATGGACCCAGTGCTCTTCTGCTTGTCTCTTCTGCAGGAATTCATAGGACTGAACACGTCGTTGACGGGCTTGCTCAGTCTCAGGGCGGGAGAATCGTACCTAGAAGATTTGGGCATCATCAAATGCAGCCCCAAATCCTCAAAGCAAAATACAACTGAATTATCTGTCACATATATATAAAAATCCCTGAAAATGCCTGTGGCAGCAAAGGGGCACAGCTCCAATGAATAATCCCTTGCTACCGGCGCCCTCTTTGTGTTTGTGCAATACATGCTTGTCCACCTTGCTTCCCACCCAAACCCAGGATCACCAGGACCACCAGGGGTTTCCTGCCCTTTCATCTGAGTGTGAATTGTCATGCTCTCTTGTGAAGTGCTACCTGAACTATTGTAATAAGGAACATTGGACATACAGTGATTTGCTTCACATCATCTTCAGCTTCATCTTGGGACGAATCACCACCTGCAAAAAATACACAACAGGATAAAAACACCATGATAGTGAAACTGGCAAAGCCAAACTGGAGACCTAATCAGAAAGAAGGCAGAACTAGGAGCTACATCCCCACAGGGTTCAATACCAGTTCTGCCAAAAGATGCAGTGTATGACAGCATCACCCCCTCCCATGACAGAGGATGTGGCTCCCAAAAGGAATCCAGGGAGCAGTTTGCTGTGTAGCTTTTCAGTAACAGCAGTGACAGTCACCACTGCTGCTCTTTGGCACTACCCACTGCCTCCTGTCCCTCTGCTGATCCTTCATGCTGTACCTATACCAGTGTTTATGCAGCTACACTGAAAATAAGATCAGGGAACAATCTGGCTGAAAATGGCCATATAATCAGTATGTTACTATACTAAATACTTCAAAGGCAATGGCTCTTAACAGTAAAATTATAAAGAAAACTTGCATCCTAGCTCCCCAAAGCAAATATAATTCACGGAGAATTTACCTTCATTAGCAGCTTCTCTTTCTCGGTGTTTTGCATCAGCTTTGTCCAAGTAAGTGAAACTTGGCCTCAACTGAAGAATTCCATGTAGTGGAGTCAGGTGAAGTTCACCTGAAAAACAGAATTGATGTTGGTCAGGACTATTATTTTCCAGTGCACAAGGATGGCACTTTTCATTATCTTATTATCTGTGTAATGGCAAAGCCTCAACTGAACATAAATATTTAATATAGTAAAATGCAAAATGGGATTGAAATGAAAAATTAATCCAGTGCTCAAGATTTCAAAGGAGTTATGAAAGATTAAGACCTACTCCTGTTACTTTCCTTTTGCTTTGAAGCCAGACCTTGAGAAGAGCCACTTTCTGACTCAGATCTGACCTGTCCTTCAGGAAACTCCTATTAAATAGCAATCACTGAAGATAATAACCTATTTTCATCTTAAATGATGCTTAAACCAAAATTCTACCATGGTGTTAGGAAACACACGTGGGGCAGAAAGTACTGACAAGAAAATAAAACAGCCACAAAAATGAAGGCAATAAAATAACATAAACAATAAGGTAATGCTTTTAATATATATTATTTCAGATCATCATGCAGTGTAAGGTCCTGAAAGACAACAGTGCTTTGCTATATATTATTTATAATCTTCTCAAGGACTTTGGGGTATTGATAAGGAAAACTTTTCTGTTATTTAAAGAAGCATCAGTCAATTAAATATGAACCTAGGCTGCTAAAAACAGAGCAAACAGATCATATTTTAAGCCAGATGGATACATTTCACTCGTGTGAAGGGTAAGCAAAAAAGTCACCTTTTTTATAAACAGCAGCCGCATAGCGGGAAACGTTACTTGCAGCTTGTGATGAGCAGAAAGTTTGCTTGTCCATCAGCTTCCTAAAAACAGATAATGTCGGTGAGATTGTATTTTATAAGCAAAGTGGCATGCAGATATTAAAGGCCTGAAATCACTGATTTCCTAAAGGGAATATCAACACTGCATGCAGCAAATGTATGCTCATCTTTGTTTGCCATACACAATTTACGAAGCACAACAAAAAACTCTACTTTCAAAAGTTTTGCCATGTTATTTGGGTTTCAAAGTTCCCCAGTGATCCCTGAAGCCCTGGTGGACATCCATATATATGTATATATCAGAATATATCAGTGTCCACCACAAAAAGGAAACAGAGGCTAAGAGGACACTTACGAGGAATAGGTACTTGTTTCATCTGTACAGGTACCATCTACATTGAGAGCAATCTGTTCTCCTTTGCTGCGACAGTAGTTAGGATTCAAAGTATCAATAGCCATTTCCAGTTCAACCTAAATAGGAAAGGAAATTCAGATTATAATGGCAGAACCCCAAACTTTTAGCAACTGAACTTTAATCTCACACTTAGTTAAATCTACAGTAAACCTGTGGAAATTTTAACAAATAAGCACACATCAATCAATTCCATAGGACAAATCTCATGCAGAAATTTGAGTATGTATGTGGGTTTGGATGTAAGATCAGGCCATTGTAACAAGAAGGTAGGGATAAATAAGATCCTGTGTAAATGACTGGGAGCAGAGTAACAATATTCCTTTAAGCAGCCCTGAAAAACAAAACACCAACAAAAACATCCCAAAACTTTACTTTGTTGGGATATCTTCCACTAAATGATCCATTTAGTTTACTCATCAAGAGGTCAAATGCACAAATATAATGCTCTTCAAGCTTCCCCAGCAATGAGGGTCCATCTTGAACCTCTCAAGCTTAAGGCATGTTTCCTCCAAATTTGGGAATAGAGTAACTATGTTCTTCTCAGAGGCAAAGGGCTCAAGCCTGGTGCAAGGCTGCAGCACTTCTTCAATTACTACTGATTTTTACGGATCCTAGCACAGAGCCAAGCCCTAAACTTTTAGCTGCAAGCAGAACTTCATTTTCCCTGACATTATTTTTAAGTTCAGTCATTCAAAAATCTCTCTTCCTGCATAGTCTTTCCCTTTATATACCAATAATGTAATTATTTTTCTCAGTATCAAAGCACTTAAAAATTCATACAGCACAGCCACCACCTTACTTTTTTTCTTTTTATTACTTAGGAAATGGACTAGAGTTGTAAATCCCTGGATGCGATGGCAGGTTACACAGAGTTTGGAACACGAATATTTGCTAATTTTAATAGAAGATTTCCCTAACACAATATACATCCTAATTTCAAAGTTCACACACGCGATCATCTTACCGACCTCCCACAGCAAAACGCTGGTATCACAGAAATAATTTTTTAGGACTTTTAGGATATGATAAGGCATTTTTAAATGATATTCATGGTTTTGGAATACATTTGTAAGCAAGTACCTCAAGGGAGGCAGTGAGGAGGATGGCCTCTTTTCACTAGTGGTCCCCAACAGAACTAGAGGAAATGGCCAGAAACCGAAGCACCAAAAGTTCCACAGGAACTTAAGGAAAAATTTTTTTAACAGTGAGAGTGACAGAGCCCTGGAACAGGCTGCCCAGAGAGGTTGTGGAGTCTCCTTCTCTGGAGATCTTCAAAACCCGCATGGACACAGTCCTGTGCCACGTGCTCTAGGTGACCCTGCGTGTGTAGGGGGTTGGACTAGATGACCCTAGAGGTCCCTTCCAACGTTGAGCATTCTATGATTCTAAGTACAAACATGCTGGTTATTGGTATCACTATCGACATCCACTGATTGTACAAGGACTGTTTCATTCACAGCCTGGCAAGGGACATGAATTGTGACCCGCACTGCCACTGAAAGACATCCAAAGGTCAACTCCTCCTGAGCCCCTATTTTAAAGACCTTGTACATGAGGATTTATTACCAGAAGAGCCTGCACACAAAGCTAGCATCAGTAAGTACAGATTTTATATCAAGGGTGGCTTTTCCATCACGGCTCTCATCCCTTTCTATATGTCAGGCTCCTCCCTGGAGGAAACTCTCTCAATTCTGCTTCACAAATACTCCCTCATACCTCCAAACATAGACACCTCCTCCCACAAGCAGTTGCACAGTTGTAACAGCTAAATAACACAAAATGTTTTTCCAAAGTACACGCTGCACAAAACAAAGCAACTTTTACAGACTGGACCTAAATGATAACCAACCTTTTGCTGCTTTGGTTTTATTTTTGCTGATAAATGTGTCACATCATCGTATGTCATGGAAGCTGGACGAATTGGATACTGGAAAACAAATACATTTCATAAAACTTCTTAATTTAAAGACCAAGCACTTTGCAGAAATTAACTCAAACTTCTCTGTCCCTTCACATGTAGACCCACTTCCCAGATGGATAAAAGTATCAAGAAAATAAGTGGCTTGACAGATCTTGTAAGCAATTAATGCAGTTGGGAACACGCCCTAGAAAGCCTGTTGCCTTCCCTGCAGCCCTCTGCTTGTCACTACAACCTCCTCCCCACTTCCTACCCGAAATAAGTCATAATAATCTATAAAACAGGAAAATGGACCACACGTTAGTCCAGCACACATGGCAACATGTTGTAATGGAAACCATTAAAATCTCATCCCTCAGTATTAACTCTCTGGGGATTTATTACCCTCAAATAAATATGTGTAGGTTTACGTCAAAATGTTTCATCCATACAGCACCCAAAAGGCTTCCCATTTTGCCCATGGAGAAAGCCAGACATATGGATAAGACTGTTAGAGACTTAGTGGCAGAATGGAAAACTAGACCTCCGGCTTCCTAACACAATTCTGCCTCTAGTCACCGCTTAGCTTTAACCCTGGGACCAAAGGGGCTCCTCTGAGACCTGCACTGGTCTGAATTGGAACCCGCTCCTCGGAGCAGAACTGGGCACACAGGCATTTGTGGTGACGCTCATGCAAAACTCCACGTGTCTTTTCAATACTCTTCTATTAGCACTGGAAAGACTACAGTATAAGCAAGCAAATTTATGGGTTTCTCTCTCTAATTCCCTCAACTGGTATTCTTCTGTCTGCTGACAGCACAGCCTTAAATAGGGCTGGACCAAGAAAAATGTTCTTTTGGCAGAAACAATTAATGGCAGAAATTGGCCAAAAGAGACTGCAATTTACTCAAACCTCAACAAAAAGATCTGACTTCCCAAAAGCAGGGGTATAAGGTGTTTAAAGAGAAGCGAGTTATTTAATGACAGCTTTGTGCCCTAAATGGCCACTCCTCTCTCTTGGCAACATTTTAAAACTAAATGTTTCAACTGACTGAGACACAAACTGGTTTGTACCCAGGACCTTAGCAGGCCAAAGCCATGAGAAAGGTTCCTGCACACTAACTTTGTTAAGATTATATGTTTATATTTATATATATTATCATTTCAAAAAGTTAACTTGAATACCTGAAAGAGGTACAGCTTTTCCAGTAGACTTCTGGCCAGGAACACGTCAATCTGAAAAGGAAAGCAAACAACATTCATCAGCCGTGACCTATGTAGCCTCAGATAAAAGCAAAATCCTAGGACTCAAATAGTGTCAATTTTAGCACTTGATGATGAACTCCAACAATAAGGTGCAGGTTCATGACTCCTTTGATGAAGGCCTCCTCTCTGTTGATTTTGACATGAAATTCAGCTTTTTTTTTTAGAAAATAAACTATGATGAGGCAGGAGACAAAGGCAATAGCTGAGTTTTTCTCTCTAAGGAAATTTAGTAAACAACAATAGAACAGGAGAAAGTCTGTCCAAAGAACTGAAGCCATAAAATATTTAAGCATAACAGTTTTCTCTCTTTTTGGCAGGATGACTGAAAGCTAATTTCATTACCGAGTATTTTGCCATAAGATTTTTCTTAATTAGACAAGACATAAGCACATTCAAAACCTGACTTAGTATTAGTATTTTGCCACTGGCACTCAAAATCCACAAGCATCACAGAGGAGCTGCCGCTTTATCTACCTTTGGAAAGGCTCCTGTCAATTCCCACTGCTCAGGGCTTTTCTACTTGGGAGTTTGCCCTTCCTTGTGCCTCTTGCATGTGAATTCATTCAAAGCGAGTAAGATCTTTTGGGGGGACAATGGGGGCAATGACAGCCCTTTAAAGACATCCAGAATGAGATCACAACTGCTTGTTTTAGAAAACGGCATAAAAACATTTTATCTTCATTTAATTTAATGGACCAATGAAAAAGATATTCAGTAGCTTGATATTACATAAAACGCATAACTTAAATTTAACAGATATTAATTCAAAGTCATTCTGTTTTTCTCATCAAGAAATGAGCACTGACAAGGCACAGGGGTAGTAGCAAGGTGCCCACTCATGTTCCTCTTCCAAAACAGATGAAAAAGGGTGCAAAGCCTGAGTACATCTCCCTGCTGAGTCTGCCAACACAGATGCTATTTCTCCAGCAACATGAGTTACCATGAGTTGTAGTCCATACAAACTATTTCCTTTGTATACAGCAAGACTATCAGGCAACCACTGATCTTGATGACAATTTCAGCAATGCGAGAAGACAAGAAGATGAGAATAATCAAAAAACTTCATGTACAGTCACTGCTGCCGCAATGCACTTTTACCTCTTGTATAATGGGATCATCTTCTTCATTTGCCATGCTAGGATTGAAAAAGCTTTTTCTTGGTTTCTTCCTTGGCACAACCTGAAGAAAAACAAAAATATCTTATGACTCACTGCATTTGTGTCATGTACCACATGGAGTATTTGCTCAAGTTAACTTGATTCCTTTCAGTGCTAATCTGTTCAGCCTGTTTTTGGAAGGAATGTATGGGTTTGCATGATCAGATTCCCAGTTCCCCACCACCTCTCAGTCAAGTGCAAACAAAATTAAAAGACAAGTAGGTGTTACAAAGATTATGCATAATATTAGTTATTGGTAGCCGCTGGATTTCCAGCCAGCCTATACAGAGTGGACTGACCGGTCACTGCGAGCCCCAAAAGAGCCACTGCTGTCCCTCAGACAGCCCCACACAGTCACTGCTTTCACTTCTCACAGAGATTCCCTGGAAAGCAGACTATGGAAAGAGCCCCCAACGGAGAGCCGAGAGAAGGAAAAAGCCTCTTCTTTGGGGCTGGTCAATACTTCCATCTGTGAACGCACCTTGATTTCATCAGTGTGACACGCTGCAGTCGTCTGCTGGCGGCGCACGGACCCTGCCCACTTTGGACTGTAATTCTAAGTGAGAGCCACAAAACAGACTGCCCGGCTGCTCGTGGAAGCCTTTGCCATGAGTTAACCAGCAGGTCTTCCCTAATGACTCTGACCTTGATCCTGCGCCCAGGTGCAGGGAAGGAACCCGGCTGCAAAGCAAAACAACAGCCAAAACAAAAACGCCCAGCCTACTGAGAGCAGAATCAGAAACAAAATAATCAGAAAACTGTTTCATCTAAATCCTTATCCTGTAAGACAACAAAGTACTTCTGCTTCCATTTAAGCTCAGGACAAACACAGTGGAGGAGGATCCCACCTCTTTCTAAGACCAAGGTTTATCAGCTGCCCTGCCAGGGCTGCCCCAAAGGGGGCTGCAGCCTCAGCCCCGGGCAAGTCCTGGTGCCCCCACAGCACCTGGAGCAAGGACCAGGCCGGGCTCCAGGTCATCCTAAAGAAAATAGGCTCTGTTATTAACCAAGCTGTAGGTGCACCGTAACATTAAAAAAAAAAATCATCCTGTTCAATCGCAGCATGTGCAGGAGGCAGCGTCAGGCCTGAATCAAAGCTTTAGATAAAAATGGCCCCTCGGCTAAAGCAACAAGAATTTTTCCTGCTGAAATAAAACAAAGAAGGATTTACAAACTGTTGGGGATGACACTGCAACAATGTTACTTGGCCCAGATCATTCAAAACACGGTGGACCAGCCACTGCTGCTCACGATAAGCATAAAAAAAACCAAACTCTCACAGTTTGTGAGATGGAGCAAAGTCAGAACCAAAGATCAGAGAAAGAAACCAGGCCTACACTCAGGAATTCCTCCTGCTTCTGCTCCCAGATTGTGTCTCTGCTGGGCCTCCCATGGAGCAAGGAACAGAGAAAGAGGCAGAGCCTAAGATCAGCTGCCAATACAGAGCTTGAGAGAAGCAAGAGAAGCCACCACCACCAATCACCTTTTTTTCTTTTTTTTCCACCTATTCAGTCCATTGCCTGATTCAACCAGCTCAATATACTGCAAAAAAGCAGGTTTCTCTAAGCATCACATTAACAGATGCAATTTGTCCAAGAAACCTTCCAGAGAAGCTGAGCACAGTGCTGTTAACATCCCCACATGAGCAAACCTCCGTTCAGACACCACCTCTGCGTTGTTTGCACCGCCCGTGCGGTGCCAGATGGAAACACGGCTCCGTGTTGTTCACCTGCAGGTTCTTCAATAGCAAAACCCTCCTCCCCACGGCGCGGAGCTGCCACTGCCCATCTTGTCCTGCCCCAGCGTCTTCCCGGCTTTTCCACCATGCAGGCACGCCTGAAATGGTACCAGCTAATATCCCACATTCATGTTTGGAAACAGATCACTGAAATGCAAACTCTGCATAGCGAAATGCCTGTCCCTTCAGTTAAGGGCTGGGGCTGTTGTAGCACAACTGTGGAAACGCCACATCAGAGTGCATGACGAGTGCCTTGCTATCAGACACTCGGTTCTCCCCAGGAACACAGGCACGAACACGTTATGCTAAAGCAACGCGACTCGCCAGCTCCAGCTGCGCTCCCCACTCGTGTCTCCGGGGCGCCCTGACCCAGCACGTTCAGGTTCAGCCCCGCGCGCAGCCCGGGCTCTGCGAAAACGCAACACCCGCCCGTTCCACCCGCGCGGGACGGCCCGGGACGGGCAGCACTGCGGGGTGGGAGCAGCCGTTCACCCTCCAGCCCCAGAGCAGGGCTGGAAACCACCACCTTGCCCTGCCTTTTCTGAGCAGCGAGCATGCGCGACTGGCCTGCCTTTCCAGAGGAAGGCGTTCCACTGGGTGAAATTAAGGCTTCTTAGGCCAAGGAGAGAGTGAGAGAAAATTAACCTGAAGGACCCAGTTTCTGGTCCCTCATCTAAGGCCACTTATGTAATTTTACATTAAATATCTTCCTGAATCCAGTTGTCAATGGCTAAACAAAACATCTAATTACAAAAATTACATTTTTTCATACTCATTTAAGGATAAAAATTAACTACTGGCCCTGTTATTAGACCATCCAAATGGCAATATATAAATAGGAAGCCACGTGTTCCCAAAGGATTTATGATGCTCGGGCCACGGCAGGGATGCTCCACGAGCCAGAGCGTGGCTTCCACCGAAGGGACGTGGACACAGTTGGTGCCCAGGGCCCTCCCCTCTCACAGATGGACATTGGAGAAGGGGACACCAGAATCACAGCGCAGAATTAAGCCGTGCATGTTAACCAGGCACAATCACCTGCGTATTTGTTGTAAATCATCCTTTTATGCAGATTTTTTGTTGTTCTTTTAAAAAGAGATTTCCTGGTCCAAATCAATTAACGCAAGCTGTCAATACACATCACTAAACTTAAGAGCAGCCTGCAGCAGGGCAAGAGGTGAATATAGTTTTCCCTGGAAGGTGACAGACTCCAGGGCCCAGAGAAAGTGCTGAGCAGCTGCCCACAACATCCCTGATTGAGAACCAATGAAGAGAGACGTTATTGCATCCAAAGCACTGTAAATAAATAAATAAATAAATAAAATAAAACCTAGTGATGAAGCAGCTGGATCCTGCCCCCAGGCCCGGGCCTGGGCAGTGTTTGGGCACCAGGTCTATCCTTTTTAACACACAAACTTGGCAGAGGCAGGAGCAGAGCGGCCTGCCC